CTGCTTGAATACCCTCCAACAATCTAAGATAATTAATGCACATAGTTCACTTTTACTAAAGCAATAATCAAAGCAATAACTGTTCTGTATACTGTTTGGCTGGTTATTATTATCAGGTATTCCCGTGAGTTAACCACTAAACTGTGATATGGTTTTAATGCTGCTTTTTTCTTGTGTGCATGAAAGATTGTCATGGTTCTATTAATGTGCCTTTTGCAGTCAGTTTTTTTTTTCCATGTTACTAATCAACGTAGACTCTATATTTCAGATCACATCAAAGTATCTTAATATGCAATATTCTGAAGATGATAGTATTCTTGAATGTTATGGACTTTGTTACCAAATAAATAATATAAAGAGTCTGTTGTTGCTCTGATATGTTTCCTGTGCAGGTTAATTCACTTACAAATCAAGCCAATATAAGATTTCATTTTTTGGACATGAGGATGGATATTATATTAACATTTCAATTTGACAAAATCACACGAGTTTTGCTTTTTCTGTCTCGATTTCAATATTTTAACCTCAAGCCAGCAGCTTGTTTGAGTCCGTCTGGCTCAGAGGTGGCTCCAGCAGGGAGAACATCATTAGCAGACGTATTTTCACTCCAACCTGTCAGCTCCGCTCGTCTCGGCGCTGAAGGTGACTCCGCTGTTCCTGCAGAGGAGTCAGCTCTTAGTCTGAATCGTGTCGAACACACTCACACATGCACAGATGCAGTTTCTGGCAGAGCTGTGAATGATTCATCTGCACTGCGGGGAGCGGGAAGTGTTTTCTGAGGTAAAACCACGCGTGAGTGATGCAGGGCAGATGCATCCTGGGAGGAAAGAGGTTTCTTTTCCTATCTGTAAATTAACTGTTCTAGGAAACGGAGACGTTCATTAAGTAGATGTGCAGTAATGAAAGAAACAGATCAATAAATAAAATACAGAAAAAAACACAGCAGCTCAGTCGACATTCAAATGTATATACACACAAGTCTCCTGTGTTAAACTGCTACCATGTTCCGTCTACATGTAAATGTATATGTCTGTGACATGTGAGCCCTGCTCCACATTTGGACGACCACCTCCATCCAAAGTGACTAATACCTCCACTTGAATATCGAGGCCCCGAACCTTTGAAAGATTCAACCCCCCCATGCACCTGAAAGACAAACACTCTCAACTGACCCACTTCAATATCAGCTCAATAAAAAACTCTGTCCCATCTCGAGGTCACGTGATAACTGGCGTCTTTTTCTATTTCAAAACACAAGTCCAGGGAACCTTTGCCCGTTTGCCCCAGTGCAGCGATCCAAATACAACAAAACACCATGTTGCATGAAGGCTGTGTTTGCTGAGAGCACACTGACTAACTGAAATGATCTCTGGGGTCATGTGCGTTGGTTTTGTGCATGTTGTGTAAATGTGGCTCCCTCACTGCTGATGTGGCTGCTGGAGAGTGTGTGTGTGTGTGAGTGTGTGTTTGTGTGTGCGCTCTTTCTAAGGTTGAAGGTAATCCTTTATTTAGACACAGGGCTCACAACTGACACCACTCAGTCTGCTCATGCATCCCACACACACACACACACACACAATATGTCAAACGTCTAAACAGTTAAGCCGCGTTTGGAAAAGTTTGATCTCTGTTAAGGCAGAAGTCTTAACGCTGAGTCAGACGTGTAATGTGGAAACAGCTCGGTCCGTCTATCTTCACATTCACAGTTTGATGGTTCGAACTGAACAAAGTCCTCCCGTCAACACCCTCCATTTATTACATGGTCGACACGTGACAGCTGATCAGGTGCCACGGGTAAAAAAAACTCGTCTGCAGATTTTCAGTCCGAACATTTAGTTTCTGTCGATATTGATTCTTGCGGGTGAGTCAGAGCGATGTCCTACTTTCTGTTGTGCAGACGCTGCAGCTTGGCAGCAGAAGAAGTAAAGAATAAAACAAAAGACGATGAAATGAAATGAAAACATCACGAGGGCAGGAAACAACAAAGATAAAGCTAGAAACACAGAAGGAGCAAAATCTAAAAAATGAGACAGGACATAGAGAACTCTGGGTGAACCACCAAACAGAACACAAATCCAAACACAAGCACGACCAAGCAGCAGCACAAGAACTTAATAAACACAACAAAAACAGGACGACCACATGTGAGCTGTGCCACGAGGGCTCCTCCAGCCTCCTTTAAATCCCCCCCCATGTAATCACACTCATCACGAACACCTGAGAAAAAACACAAGGAGAAGGTAGACAAGCAAAAAACTGTCGTGAAATTAATTAAATTCAACTTGGAGCTTAGTGATTTCTTCTGTGCACATGTATCCGGACATTTCTCCACAGAGCAGCCGTCTGTTGCCGGAGACACTGAAACACACTGAACCTCAGACCGAGTTGGAGCAGCGAGTGTGAAATTCTCCTTCTCTGCAGGTTCAGTCTCCTCTTACAGAAGCAAACGTGTGCTTGCTTTCCACTTGAACTTTAACCCAGGAGGATTTTACGATGAAATCACCATGTATACGTGAGCGTTCAAACATTTGTACTTCATTGTGTTCCTCTATTTCCATGTCTGTCCTTTCTGTGTCTCGAGAGCAGGGAATCGTCTATTTTGAACCGAATATTTTTAGCGAAATAAACGTAAAAGTGTCTTTTGTGATGCTCCATGTTTGCACCTTGTTGTAAATCTCGGTTAAAAATAATAAAACGTTTTGCTCTTTGGTTTTTAATAGGTCATACAACATATCAGCTATGTCATGCTTGTGTTTAGGGTGTGTCACACAGGCTATTTATACAACATGTCAGGCCTCGCTCCCGCTCCGCACTGTGGGATCATGCAGTGACCTTCACTGGAGACTGACGAGTCTGCTGACTGTGCAGCATGGACCTGAGGGGGCGGAGCGACGGGGGTTAAACTGGAAATTATATTTAACGTGTTTAACCTTTGGGATGAAGCTGTGTGGTAGTGATATCGGTCAATCTGCGAGTGTGGAAGAGTGAACTCCCCCCCCCCCCCAAAAAAAATACAATTCAACAAGATTTTGTTTTTCAGGAATCAAATTCTTCCACTTCATGCTTACAGTGCAAATATCTGCATAAACCCATAAACTCACTTCCTGTGGATCAGAGAAGAAACTGAAAGCTTCTCTGGATCCACGCCACACAGGGACAGCCCACCACTAGTGATGTCATCGCCCACAGTCCCAGAGGACACTGCGGCTGTGGGCTGAATGCAGTGTGTGTGTGTGTGTGTGTGTGTGTGTGTGCACTGATGCACAGTACAGTAGAATATGTTTGTGTGTGTGGGCAGTGTGAGAGGAGAGAAAGAGAGGCAGACAGGGCAGCAGAGAGATGGAGCACACTGCTGCACACACAACACAGCACAGTGATCTGGAGGAGCATCCTAAAAGAGGTCAGCTTATTAAATATTTACAACAATCACAGGTATTTCTGTCCAACGCAACGATTTCCTGACAAACTCCACGATTCAACGTGTGCAGGGTTTTTAAATACAAACATATACTTCCACTTATAATGTGTTGCACGCGTCCTTGCATGAAAAATAACATTTGTTCTCCGGTTGATGTTATTCCGATCATGGTCCTGTGAATAAAAAAAAAAAAAGATCCTTTATATTTAAATCAAAATTTATATCAGGCAACAAACGAATCTCATTGTGACTTTCATTTTGTTATGGTTCATTTTCTATCTTTATAAAATAAAAGTCACGATGGTAAATGTGTAACAGGAATGAAAATAAAGAGTATTTATACATAATATAAATATCTACCAAGTTAAACCCGATACCTTTCCTTTATATCACTGGCTCTGAAAAGTCAGATAGACAGACAACACTGACCCCTGGCTGCACATTGAAAACACTGTGATACTGAAGTTTTACCTCCGTGTGTCTCATATTCAAATACAGATTGAAAACACAGATCATGACAATAATAAAACAATGTTTAATGTAAATAATCATGTAAACAACAGTGCGGAAAATATGTTCATCAACAGAAATCACTTTCTCAACATGACACCCTGAGTTTTCACAATTCACTGGAGGAAAATTAGAAATAATTAAAAGGCACAAAATGCAACATCATGTTTCAGGCAGTGCAGTGATCCAGTTTCTCACTTAACCATTAGAAAGATAAAGAATTTGGTTTGTGTGACACAATATTCATCAGTTCTGAGTGTCCCAAAGCTTAATATGAGCTTCACTGCGTATTTTAACTTGATTTCCCATCAACTGTAAAGTCGAGTACAGTTTAAGACAGTTGTACTTCCTGTGTGAGAGCTGCAAACATTTTTTTAACAATGATAGAAATATTCACCCGTTAGAAAAACATCTGGAGGTGAAGTCAGAGCAGAGGAGAGTAGGAGCGTACGGAGCTACAGCCTCAACACGTAATGTTCAAGAATCCAGGTGGTGAACTTTACCCTGCGCATCCTCTCATAAGCTTCAAAATAAAAACCTTCTGCATCGTTGGGTTGGTCCCTGCAGATGTTTCGGTCCCTGCTCACCTCCTCTCTACCGGCCCTGAGCCTCCTCCTGCACCTCTGTGATGTTGCGGTAGTGCTGAGGCTGATTCTGGGCCAGAGGAGAGTCTGTTGTGGTGAACAGGACGGTTCGACCCTTCGGGGGCCTTTTCAGCAGGAACCTCCGGGACGTCATCAGGTCCCCATAGCCCTGGGAGTGGGAGAAGGCGTAGCCTGAGCGCCGGGTGCTGATTATCCTTGGCTTGAGACGAGTTGCAAGGGCTGGCAACGCCTCCTTCCGCACCTTATGCCTCATCTGGAGCGGGTGGGCGGGAGGACAGGGATAAGCATTTGTATAACTTAAAAATGTAACTTTACATTATAAATTAATACATAAGAAAATTTAAATTAAGAAAACTGTCAACAGCTCACCTTGTCATTGATGGTGGGCCGGAGCTGGATGAGGATGAAGCGGACCGCCACCACCGGCAGAATACAGAGGAGCGTGGACAGGAATATGGTCAGCCACACGTTGGGCTGGTTCAGAGAGTTTCTCGCCGTACCTGGAAGAAAACATCTGTATATCAGTGATCACATAGAATCACCCGGTGGAGGAGAAGTGGGCACAGGAGTTTAATCCACTCACCAACGAAGGGGAAGGAGGAGGTGAAGATGAAGAACATGCCGTTGCTGTACATGGTGAATGTGATGGCAAAGTAGGCGGCGAGGCTGCCCCACACAAAGAACTGGTTCACTGCCGTCCAGTAGTAGGTGTCCAGACACAGCTGAAACATGTTTCACAGCATATATGAGAATCTGCAGATGTTTTGAGATGATAAAACCTTTAAACTAACTCACTCGGGCCCGTTCCCCTCACCTGTAAGTTCACCACAACAAGCAGAGACGTCTGTGCCAGCAAAGCGAAGGACTGATAGTCGGCGATGTCTTTGCCGTCGTCCCGGACTGTGTCGTGCATGGCCGCCCACGGGATGAAGAAGAGGATGAGGGAGCTGTAGCAGCTGTGCAACAGGCAGCGCACAAAGGCTTTCTTATTGAAGTAGAGGTTGAGCTGGCCCGGAGAGTAGAGCTGAGGATACTGGAAACTCCAGCGGTCGTTCACGTCCTGCAGAAACACAGGAGGGGAGAGGGGGAGAGAGAGAGAGAGGGGAAGGATGTGCCTCAGTGTGAATTCAGTATAAAGTACAAGATATTCAACTCAAGGAATATTGAATAATTCTCTCACCTGGTCAAAGAGGCTCAAACCGAGGATGGGGAGAGCTGTGTACACCAGGTTGTACAAAGTGATGAACCACTCGTCGTACACAGTCTGTGAACAAAGAAAACATGAAACACCTCTATAACACTGTGAATATTTATATAGAGGCCTCTACTAGCATATACAATATACAAATAAAACATAATTATTATAATCATTTCAAATGAGACTCTCGTCCTCACTCACCTGCGCAGAGAAGCCACAGAAGAAGGCGTACCACAAATGCACGAAGGTGAAGATGAAGTTCTTGTAAAAGAAATACTGTAGGAACTTGCACATGCGCAGGTACGACCAGCGGCCGTGCACCAGCAGGAGGCGCTGAAGGTAACGGAACTGGGCGAAGGAAAAGTCGCTGGAGAGGACGGCCTGCATGCCCTCCTGCCCACTGATGCCCACGCCGATGTGAGCAGCTGGAGGACGGACAGGAGATTAAGAAAACAACATTTGCACGATGAGATATATCGATATTAATGCAGCTCTGTTTACCCTTGATCATGCTGACATCGTTGGCCCCGTCCCCGATGGCCAGAGTGACGACCTGCTTGTATTTCTTGACCAGCTGCACCACCTGGGCCTTCTGCAGAGGAGTGACCCTGCAGCAAACCACCGTCTGACACATGCACGCTGTCCTCAGCAGCTCCAGCTGCAGGTTCTTATCGAGAGCGAAGGCCTGAGGGCGACATGGAAGAAGGAATTACCGAGCAGTGATGAGTCAGTTACGTCCCAACAACTACATTTTAACTCTACAGTTCAACCACCACCAGATCGCTGACCTTGCCGCTTCACTGATTCAAATTGTGGGACAATCACACTTCTTGTTGATTCAGCACCTACTGAGGGTAAAAAAGAAAAAAAAAAAAAAACTTCTTACCAGACTGTGTCCGTTTATAACGAGGGCGTAATCTCCGTCCACCTTCTCATCCTGCACCGTCTCAGTTTTGTGACTCCAGAAGAGGCCGGCACGAGCCCGGACCACGCTCGGCTCCTCCTCGGCCTCTGGACACATTTTCCTTCTCGCATTCCTGGAGAAGTTATTAATGAGTCATTTTCATCCCAGTTACTTTAAATATAATCAACTAAATAAAAGCGAGAACAGTCGCCTGTGTCCGTCTGACTCACTGCAGCTCCTCTCTGACTCCTTCAGGCGTGTTCGCTGCCACGATGAAAATCTCCTTCATATCCTCTCTCAGCATGTTGCAGGAGTAGCCGATGTTCTCCGCCGTCTCTGTTTCCAAACATCGTCACTTTTAATCCGTCAGTTCATTCACGTTTGTTTTCTCGTGGATTATCACACCAACCTTGTTTATCTCCGGTCAACACCCAAATCTTGATGTCAGCTTTAGCCAGTTGCTCTATTGTCTGTGGAACTCCGTCCTGCAGCTTGTCCTCCACAGCGGTCGCTCCCAGCAGCTAAAACCCACAGAGGAAAAATGTGTAATATGAAAATTATGTTTTTAGTAAAATTCTTTTAGAAATGTTTAAAGCCCGTCTCACCCCGTTTTTATAGAATCAAACGACAACTTAAAACCATCTCTCAGTTTTCCACAGGCGGACTAACCAGAAGATCTTTCTCCATTTCCTCGTAAAGTTCATCCAGCCGCTCCTCCCGTCCGTCCATGGCGGTGCTGGCCTCATGGTGGCGCTCTCTCCAGTTTTCCATGTAGCTCTTATCTATTTCCTTGTAGGCGAGAGCCAGCGTGCGGAGACCTTCGCCTGCGTATTCCTGGACGGTTCAGAGCAGTTACCAACACAAACCCCGACATCTTACCCACGTGTTGGCGCTGGATTGTAATTGACCACATCACTCACGTTCAGGTGACTGTTGGTGACATCCATCAGTTTCTTGCAGGACGGGTGGAGTCTTTCAAAGATGATGGTGTCCGCTCCTTTGCAGAACAGAGTCAACTTCCCCTCGGGGCTACGCACTGAAAGTCAGAGGGAGAGCAAGGTGGAGTCATGATGAGTCATCATCATTTAAACAAATGTCAAATCATTGGAAACATCTCGTCATCACTTCCTCTCACCTATGACCGACATCCTCTTGCGCACGTTATTGAAGTCAAGGACGGCCAGAAGTTCGTAGATGACTTTTCTGCCCATCTCGAAGACCGTGATGCTCTCTGGCGTACGTGAGCGGAACACGAAGCCAAAGTTTCTCGCCGCCGTCACCAGAGCGCCCTCGTCGGGAGACTGCGCCTGATAGTAGAGCTCTCCTGCCCGGAGAAACAGAGGAAATGTTTGGTCACTGGTAGAACAACCAGACACCATCAGAGATCAGATATGAAGCCGTGCAGTAATATAAACGTCCATCAGAGGACGCTCACCCTCTTTCTTCTCCTCAGGCATGACGGTGTGGCACAAAGCCAGCAGGCGGAAGAAGGCCTTAGCCTCAGGGTTTCCCTCCTTCACCATCTCCCCCAGACTGTGGTCGTAGAAGACGAACTTCGGATCCGCTAGCTGGTTCCAGGAGAAGTCCACCGTCTCCGTCTTCTGCAATTGGTAAAAGAAACAAGTTTGAGGAATACATATATAAGTTACACATAAGTCAGTGACTTCACTGTTCTCCTCTCACCTCTGTGATTTCCACTTGTCGTCCGGCAAAGTCAAGAAGCTTCCCTGAAAAACACAGACACACGATCTGAAATCAACTCTTCAGTCTTACTGTGAACCCTGCAGGTCTCATGAAGACAGAGCTGCTCACCAAAACATCTCCCGTTGATGGAGCACTTGTTGAAAGTCATGATGTTCTGCGTCAGGGTCCCCGTCTTGTCGCTGAAGATGTACTTGATCTGCCCGAGCTCCTCGTTGAGCGTGGTGGTCCTCGCCTGGGCGGGGGTGTCGCTCTTGGGGTAGTACATCTTCCTGTCCCAGTCGATGTAGAAGCTGTTCCCCAGGCGGATGATCTCCACGCTGAAGCACGCGGGGGTGGGGGGGGAGGGGTGAAGATGTCAAAGTGTGACACGAGAAAGAAGAGCAGACTTGATTCTCTCACCTTTTTTCATTTTCATACCTGACGTAGAGAGAGATGGGCACCACCGTGTTGAGGACGATGACGTAGGACCAGAAGGACAGGAAGGAGGAGAGGGCGGCATCAATACCTTGTTCCCGGGGGAGGAAGGTCGTGAACACGAAGCCCTCATGCGTCTCCCAGATCGCATTGCCGATGGCCATGACGGTGCACATGGACGCCAGGAAACCGAAGATCTGATCGATGATTTAAAACAAATCTCTGTTATTGAGAAATATTCCACTGATGACATCGACGAGGTTATACGATAACTTTATATAAAGAAAGTGTCCAGGTTTTAGTTTTTGGTACGTAAAGCTTACGCAGAGGAGAACAGGGTTATGACTTATACGGCATCCAGCCACCAGGGGGCGATCAAGATGTGTGTGTGTGTTAAACTCACAGACAACACCAGGACATTCATCAGGTGGTCGATGCTCGTCCGTTTGAACGTTGTCTTTCCACTGTTCTGCATCAGCTTGGTGTCGGGACCTGGACAGATTCGGGTCAGGACTTTGTTGAAGGACAAATCTGCTTCAAACCGTCGCTAATACTCTGTGTTTGCGGGATATTTGTCTTTAATTGTGATTTGCTTTTTTGAGTTTGCATTTAGTCGCACACGGGCCAACTGCTTCTCTAAGAACGAGGCAGCTCTTAAAGCGTTCCCGTCTGCCCTTTTGAATTGTTTGCTCTGGAAGGACATTATGCTTCAGGAGTTTTTTTAATTGTTCCCTTCATGCATCAGTAGGTTTTTTATGGGTTAAAGTCCATGTTAGTGGATAAAAGCTAATAAAAGGCGGCCTGGTGAAGTGGTAAAACAGTAAACCAAATACACAGCGATAGTCAAAGTCCTGTATAATCTAATTTCATTTGTTACTTCTTTATTTTTACTATATTTACTCATTATAATTTTATTACTTCTCCTCGTCGACCGAGTCTTTCCCGTCTGCTGCTGCAGGAATCTAACAGAGCGCTCACTACGCAAAACACAACTGCCAAACCAAGAGTCGACGTCATGACGAGAGTTCACCTCCGAAGATGACCAGGCCGAAGCACCACTCCGTGTTCCTCAGGGTGCATCCTCGCAGCAGCACCTTGTCGTTGTCCAGGGAGTAGGCCTGTCCGCTCAGAGTCATGGTGCCTTTGAATTTGTCCAGACGGTTGTTGGGAGGCTCACAGCGCACTTCACCTGAGGGTCAGAGGTCAGAGGTCAGCATCAAGGAAGCAGAGTAAAGGTCCAGGTAAAGGTGAGATAGAAAATTATATCTTTCTATCTTATATCAAGATGTTTTTACTTAAACTTCAAGAAAAGTCATGAACAAAAAAAATGTAGGACGCAAATAAGGTCAGAATTATATGAATTATCATTTTTTATTATGGTCTGACTAAGATTTAAAGTTTAATAATCTTGATTTACAAAATCAAAGTCATGGCTTCTAATTTTGATGAAGTTCCAGAAGAGAACAAACACAGAAAGAAGTTTTAAAAAGTTTCTTATGTCTCTGTATAATAAAAAAGATTCATTTATATTTCTTTCTCACCGTTGAAACCAGCCAGTGCGTCCACGCTGTCCCCCAGCTCTCCAGTTACAGTCAGGGCCTGTTTCACCTTCAGATTGGTTTCACTGTGAGGGGGGGGGGGGACGGGACACACACCAAGAGGACATGAGGACGATGTAACTCTGAGACAAAGTGAGACAGTCAGTGAGACACTCACCCGTCTAACTCAGCAGTTTCTACATACACCAGGTTGAGAGGCTCACTGCTGGACAGCAGCAGGAGGTCGGCCTGA